ACATCCTGATTTATCTTGTTTGCTTAATTCATGTCATTCAATACATTAAGAAAATCTGACTACATCTCAACAATTCACCTTTCATGTTTCCTAAACAGTTCGAATTTTCTCAAGGGTACGAGTACCATAGCGTAATAAATCTAATAAAATTTAACCCCTTGGAAAGTGCTTCTCTCGCATTAATTCTAGTTGCGTATAACAGTCAATTACTATTCTTATTCTATGTGGGACTAATCAAAATGTGCCATTTGATGGACTAAAATGTGTAGTTTGTTAATTTTTATTCACATAATTCATTTTAGTGAATAATTTACAATATTTAATCTTTTATTCTGGATCTTAAGATAGACAATAGATTCAGCTTGTTTCTAACAATCATTGTCAAAGCACCATAAAATTTCATTCACTTCATTCTTTATATAACTCAAAATACATTTTCATTCCTGTCGCTATTAAGTTTTTCTTTTGTCCTTAGCCTTTATTTGTCTATTTCAAAGTTTGTAGTGTTTTGGGTTTTTGGTTTTGTCGAATTATTTGGATTGTCTTTGTTAGCAAAATGTGATTCTAAGAATCTATAGGGACAGTTTATAATCCCATTTCTTTACTAAATAAAACTTATTTTTAATAAATCTGCATGTATCGTATAGTGTATATGTCTACTCTTTCAGCTTTAGTAATTTCCCTTTGATGTTCACTTGACCTCACCTCGGCAACACGGAGAGCCAACGAGATGCACCCTGGATTTATCTGGTGACGCAATGGCCAGCTGTCGTGGACTGCCAGGAGTAGGGATAGCACTAAGCACGAGGGCTGGACAAGTACTGTTAGAGTGGATCCCCGCTAACAGTCGTTTATGTGCTCTTCGGCTAAACGGCTCCGTGAGAGCTCGGAAAGATAGGTACACACGTCGTTGCCTTTTCGTCGTTTCTGCCTACACTCCCACCGACTGCAGCTCAGATGAAGTGAAAGATGAATTTTACAGAAAGCTTCATCATAGACCTATTGATGGAAATTACATTCTCGTCTAATGAATTCTCGGGTATTGATCTTCCGGGAGGTCCACTTATCGACTTAGAATATGCAGATGACATAGTCCTGTTTGGTGAAGACGCAGATGAAGTGAAAGATGAATTTTACAGAAAGCTTCATCATAGACCTATTGATGGAAATTACATTCTCGTCTACTGAATTCTCGGGTATTGATCTTCCGGGAGGTCCACTTATCGACTTAGAATATGCAGATGACATAGTCCTGTTTGGTGAAGACGCTGATAGAATGCAGAATGCTTTGGTAATACTGAGCAACAATGCCAGAATGTTTGGAATGCGCTTCTCTCCCTCTAAATGCAAGCTGCTGCTTCAGGACTGGTCTGCGTCAACACCTGAACTAAGGATAGGGAGTGAAGTAGTCGAACGCGTTGACAACTTCACTTATCTTGGAAGTCTGATCAGCCCTAATGTGTTGGTGTCTGACGAAATCTCAGCACGGATTCGAAAAGCTCGTTTGGCTTTTGCCAACTTACGTCACCTATGGCGAAGGCGAGATATCCGTCTATCAATTGAGGGACGAGTATACTGCGCGGCAGTCCGTTCTGTTTTAATTTACGGCAGCGAAACATGGCCATTGAGAGTAGAAGACACTCGTAAGCTATTAGTATTTGACCACAGATGCCTTAGAAATATTGCTGACGTCTGCTGGGATCACCGAGTAAGTAATAGTGAGGTTAGACGCAGGGTATTAGGGAATGATGGTAAATCAGTTGATGAGGTTGTGAATTTTCAATGCTAACCGGCTAGGGTTTGTATTATTTGAATGTTACCCTTAGGACTTGAGACGCTTGAAATAAAATTAAGATGTAGTTATCGCTTGGACCTGTAATTCATTTTTGACACGAATTAAATCTTGTTTTCCATGCTGTGAAACCTGAAAGTATTGTGTTTAATACTATTTAATAGGGAGGGCTCTTCCTGCCTGTAAATTCTAAGTTTATATGGAATTGTAGTTTTGTGGTTTATTAGTTCTTATCGGTTCTCCAACCTTTTTCTGTTCTTTACGAAAATCACCTTCAAATCACATACAACACCCATAAAATCACCTATGCAATTAAAATGAGCCTAATAAAAAGGTAATATTTCATATATTTTAATGTATTACTCGAATTTCTTATAGTTTCTTATTTATTGCTTTACTTAAATAAACAAGTTAAACCACCTGTCATTGAATTCATGTTTTGTTTATTTGTTTTTTAATATCATTTTTGGATATTTTTCATTTCCAATGATTCTTATGCCGTGTATTAGATGTTTTCAATCAATATGATTACTCAGCTAGTTATCTCACTGACGTTTGTTGTTCAACACGCTTTCTCTGTCCTTATTTATTTGCTATATGGAACAATGCTTGTATAAATTATCATATGATTTTCAATTTCGGTTATCTTGTCTACTGACCAATGTATCTTTCTTTCTCTTGTTTTTTCCTTATATTTCTTTATAAAAAAAACATAATTCTATTAGTCAGATTATTCAGTATGATACATTTTATTCATTGTAATTACCTTAAATTATTTAGTATTTATTTCTTTATGGACATATGGTTTTCAGTTTAATTATATGTTGAGTGATTGTGTTAATCCAGAGTTCACATGAAATTCCTAACTATTAGAAATTCAAGAATATTAGTCACTTGATTTTAGACTTCAGTCCCGTCATTGTTAACGAATTAGTGACGTTAATTGGAATCATTAATGAGTAAAAATTAACCGAGATTTTGCAAAATTAGTACAGATCTGGAATTGGTTCCCTCTGAATAATATCCGAATATTTTGCACTGTTCATTGAAATTGAAGGGGTATACCATTAGCGAATTCTAAGCTAACAGAAATAACACTCTTCACTATGGAGAGTTACGACTCACCAACTCAGCATAGTTGCATATTACGTCATAAACTATCCGTTTCTCTTAACCATTCTTACTAATTTCAAACAATGATCTCCATATTAACGCCCGACATTATGTAGACTATCTGTAAACCAATTAAACGGGTTATTTATTCGACATATAAAAGTAAAAACTTCTCAGCGTTATATGTCGATACATATTTTATGAACATGTGAACAATTGTTTCAAACAAGATTATCAACCATCCGGAAAAGTCGAACTCAACAAATGTACCTGCTAACAACAAATGTTTTGACCCGTTTCTCTTTAAAAAAATCCATTCGTTCAGAGGTTTAGAATTATATATATATATATATATATATATATATATATATATATATATATATATATATGATTTGAAATTTCTGTTTTCTATACAGGTATAAATTAATAATTACAGGAAATCTTAATACAGTGGTTGTTTGTTTTTGAAGAAAATGAATATTTATATCTTCCAATGTTTCATTTGTCTGGTTGATAAAATACATAACTTAGAGCTACAATTTTATTTAGTCCTCTGTTGTTTATTGTATGCTTGCGATTTGTTGCCAGCTGGTATGTATCGATTTGAATACACTGATATTTAAATCACGTTTTTGTTACTTGGATCGTTACAAATTAGTTGTTCCTGTTTTTAAATTATCTCAATATATTCTTGATATGAAGGAGTTAATATCTCATATTAAGTGCGTCAGTTAATAGTTACCATGTTTGTACATTCCATGAATATATGATCATGGACAGGTTGAACCAAAAAAGTAATAAATTGTAATCGAAAATAAAATGGATTAGTCTGTTTTCATATTCTTTACTTTCATATGGATAATTTTATTTCATTGCATATCTCAAAATTGTACACATTTAATAAATTTTTGTTTTAACATGTACACTAAATTCGTTGGCTTTCAATTTGCCAGCAACAACTTTTTACCGTAGATCATCTGTCATAGTTTAGCTAGTCATTTGGTATCATTCATAAAATCACATGAAAATCAACTGATCTGTTAAAGTTAATCTACCATTTATTCTCTAACTGCACTTTTGTTCCTTTTTTACCAAAAGTGATTATAGTAGACCAACTGAAGAAAATTAGATTTTAGGCATTTCCTTCACTATAAGCTTATTCTCATCCCTAATTTTTAATATGATTTTATTCCCCTTTTAATTGATATAGGATAGAAAAAGCAGTTTCAGTTCATCTCGCTCCCGTCTATGCTTGGTGGGCGGCCTATGCTCCTCCATAAGAGTTAAAAGGCGTAAGGCCATTTATTCGTTAGGCTCTCTTTCCAGCCATCTATCGAACAATCTTCATTTGTTATGACGTCTCTCTTTATGAAACACGTATTCTGTTCTTTTTTCTTCACCAAGAATTATTCCATCTTATTGCATATTCATCGATACTATTCGTCATTAAATTTACTTTGTTTCCTTTCAACGAAAAATTTTGGTCTTCAGACAGTACGGTCAGTTCCTATGGATGTTTTTTACCCTATGCCACAAAAATGACTTAAAATGATTATGTCCTTGGTAGATTATTTATCAAAGACGAGATTTTTTGCATATTGTTATCGATATAAACTCTTGTTATTTGATTGTGAAAGTGTAGTCGTGAATTTATCTGCCCCTTCTTTTTGATATACTATCATGGAAAGCATTGTGTAGCTCAGAAGTTTGTGTCTTTGCTATTGATTATACTTTAGATGTGAGACCTTTCTTACTATTTCATTCCGAAAGATAACCATGTAATGCTCAAAATATAGTGTCATGTTGACACGTTTCTATAACACAATCTCGTCACTTTTTCATCTTCCTGAAATGCTCAACAAATGTATTGCAAACTTGATTTCACTAATTCCTCTTTTCTTTACGTATCCTAACTTCAGTAAAAGCTAGGTAAATAATTCATTCATTAGCTTGAATTCTTGCACATAATCGTTGAACTTCAACGTTTACCTGTTACTTTCATTTCTTGTAAGATAGAACATTACTTTGAAGTATATTATTTGGTTTTGACATATAATCCTAACTGTTACTTACACGTTGTTGTCTTTTTTAATAGCTGCTTTATTGAATGCTGAGACTAATAAATTACTTCAATTACAACAAGCTAAACTGATAGCTCAACATCAAGTTGGTTTGGTGGAACAACAATTACGTCAGCAACAGCAGCAACAACAACAACAGCAACAACTTCTAGCTGCTGCTGTGGCTGCCAACAGTTTAATGCAAAATCCCACAGTAAATGGTCATACTCTATCAAATGGGTCATATCTTCAAGGTTTCGGTACATATGGTCGTACATCACGGCCTGGTTCGACCATCCCACCTTCTATGCAGTCATATTTATCCCCAGGAAATTTGTTAGCTGTTCAGCAGCAACAGCAATTAGAAGCAAATCAATTATTATTATTAAACGATGCAAATGTACAAATGTCGACATTGAATTTTACGGGCTCTCCATCTGTGAATCTATTGAATTCAGAATTAAATGAAGCAGCCAGTATAAGCAAATCATCCGCAGACTGTGGTGGTGGAGGTGGAGGATCAGGTTCAGTGGTTTATGAAAACTCCTACAGCTCATTCAATAAGTAAGCTTCGTATTATTAATTTCTTTTTTTATTTCGAAGTATTCTTATTTAAATTAATATATATTTGCTATAAGAACTATTAATGCTTATCTACATTCCCTGTTACACTCTCTAGGAATCGAATAATGTTAACTTACACATGCGCACTCACAATTCATTCATTTATCTTCACAGTCTGAACTTTTCACATGATTTACATATAACTGTTATCCTACTTACTAAAGTCAACATCTGAATATGATTGGATAAGCACAGCATAGATTTGGTTGGATAGTTAAACACTATACGTTTCTCTGATAATTTTGATTTTGATTATGATCCTGAAGAAGTCCAGATAAGTTTTTTGGACGAAACGTTGTAATTACTTAAATTTCAGCCGCCGAGATTATTTCAAACACAATCACACATAATGTCTTCTCTATAATCGGCGTTCAATTTCTGTCAAACTATTTGTTCTAATATTGACGAATATTCGTATAATGTTCCTTTTATTTGTTTAATAGTAAATATTGTTATTTCTCTCAAAACATTCTCAATGCATCATGAAGTTTCATTCATAAGGATGAGATATATTTTGTTGTTTTATTGTGAAATACCTTGTGGTTAGGAGGGCTTGTTTCCCAGCCATTAGGTCCTGGGTCCGAACCCCACTCTACCTACGTCTGTTTGAACAGTCGAATAGTGTCATTGCTCCATGTACTTATTGTAGCCCATATCCGAGTTCTAGTGAATGAGTCAATTTATTTTTATATTTTACTTCTTGATGGAACTCATAAGCTCGATAATAAAACTCTACTGTCATAAAAGCCACTGTCGGAGCTTACTGCAAATCTTTTTGCCTTGGAAGAATTCCATTATTACCAAATCTATATATTTTTGTTAGTTACATCAGCTGAATAAACTATGCACTCTGAAAACTGCTTGTTCTATCCCAATTTTAAGCTTCATCAGGTCTTCTTCTGATCAGCTCAAAATCTCAATAAAATGTAAGACTCAAAGATTACTTAAAACCTTTATCCTTAATTGTTAGATATTACCAATCCTATGTGGTAATTCATTTTCTCATTATGACATTTTAGTTCTTTATTTGATCATGGGTACTATTGAAGATGTTCATATCTGAACAATAAATATGTGGACAACCTGGAAGCACTAAACGGCCTTTCTCCTTAGCATGGGACTCCTCAGCTGTTCTCCGTCCGGTGCTTCCAAGTTTTCAATGGTTGCCTAATTTACATCGGATCATCATTTCAATAAAATTCAATCATCTCCACAACCCTACACTCAAAATTCTTCACAGTATCTAATCTTGAAGACCCTGTCTATGTTTAATTACACGTAATACAGTTTTTGTCCCTTTATAGATGTAGTTATTGATCCATATGATGCAACTTAAGAATTCGTCGTGCATTTATGTTTTAAACTGTGAATCACATCTGTTGTCTAATATCCAATGACACTTTCCGACTACTCATCCTCAATTGGAATAGGTTTCAATCCACTGCGTTGTGGATCAGGGTTGATCACCTTCATTGCTGAGACACATTTTGCAGTATTATTGTATTTCCAGTTAAATTAATTAGACTCGGAAAACTTGACACCTTTTCAGTACCTACCCCTAGGTTGTATTATTAATCTTTTATTGGATCAAAGTTGTTGTTTTCTAACTATTTGTTTTACTTCATTTTCGATGAGGAATAGAAATCCCATCAGGATCATTCATTATAAAGATCTCCAGGGGTCAATAGCAAGATACCGGTTATATTTAGTTATCTGTATTTCCTATAAAATGAACTGTCTCTATTTTATATTGGTCTGATTCTATCAAAACTGTATACTGTGGTTAGGTAAACATGGAGAAAGGTTCGTGATTTGAAAAATAAATCCTAATAATGACCTATCAATCCTCTCATTATATATTGTAAATTACCAGTATCACCTACCCAGGAAAGTGATAATGGTAGATTTATATTTATCTGTAGAAAAGGTAACTGATTTAACTATATTTAAATTTTACCTGTTAATGTTGTTTTTTTTTTAAATTCTCAATATGGTATACGACTAAGTCAATAAAATAAGTGAGCTTTACTGAAACATTTTTTGTATTTCAAACTAATAAGTTATAATGTTGTTCATCAGCGATAAGTAGCATAAGTTTAACTGAATTAAATACTAGTTCTTCACGAAAACTGTTATCTAATGCTAATCTAACTGAAGGAAATTTCAACTTAGTGAATAAGTTATCTTTCCTTAAATACTACTGAATACATACATTACTAAGCTTATTCTGAGTAAAGTTATCAATGTATTATTTTCTTTTTATGGTCCCAGTGTCAGAGTATAATCACTTAGCGACATAATAATGATAACTTTTACAATTAAACAAAAAGAAATAACTTAATCCGGTTATTAAAATGTGGCACAGAATTTTTAAAAAAAATCAAAATCTTATTTAAATGTACTGTTGTACATTTTTTAAACTGATATCTCACTGATATATTAGTCATTAATTTCGGTGAGACTTCATATGAGAAATGACTTAACATTGAATGTGAATAGCCAACAAATTTTAATCGCTCCATTTCTATATATACTTATTTATAGTTTTGTTAGATCAATCCTGATCAGCCTTTAGCATTGTTTTTATTCTAATTCTACCGATCATATTTAGCAAAATAATTGAATTGCGCATTGTATTATTAACCTTAATTTGTTCATATTTCATATGAATAATGCTAAACACTATAATTAAACATTTACTCGTTGTGTCATTTTTAATGAGGCTGTAATATCAAAATTGTTCAATGACAAACATTGATGATAATATTAATGATGGTAATAATGGCTAAACTGTTGGCAGTAATGACCGTATTATGTATTGGTATATGATTGTTAGCTATCATTGTTTTCATATATATATATATATATATATATATTGATTAGTCCTGTCACGATAATTATCTATGTTTTATGCTGAACGTATAAACTAGGTTACCAACATTATTCTTATGACATTCCTGACAGTTACATAATCATATATTCAATCACTAATAATAACTAATCGAGAAGTCAGTGACAGTTGGTAGGTACCGAAAAATTTAGTTTTAAAAAGTGCCCTGAGGTGAATATCCTTTCCTCAGGCTGAGACTAAAGCCAGAGGTTTCTTGCGTATCTACCCATAAACACAATCAACATATTTATATTTTTAATTATCTTAGCCATCTGCCACACTTTAAATTTAACATGAATATTCATAAAAAAATAAATACTACTAAATACAAAATCATATTAGATACGTCAGGTAATGTAGGCACAAATTATATTCCTCGTGTTGTTGTATTGCCGTAAATTCATATGCACAATTCTACATAGTATATTACGGCAATCACTTTCAACTACCTTTGTCGTTAAGTGGAATTGGAGAGTAGTGAGACTAAGGCCAGTAATTAGCTGGTAAAAGCAAAAGTTACGGTAATAAAAACGATGGTTTATGCGACAATTGTAAGCGAAACAAATTGAAAAGATAATAGCAATTACATACATATAAATATATCTTGAAAATAATAGTTACAGAATTCATGCCAGTTTACATGTATGATTAGTTTGATATAGATAGTAGAGGACAGATATGTGATATTAGTTTTTTGAAGTGTCCTCGTTCAAAAATTGATTAGGTAGTACATTTTTCACGTTTTGTATCAATGAAACGCGTCATCCAGGACCTTTTTATTCTTTTTAAGTGAACATCTCATTGATGTATGGATGGTGTATTTAAAGTCATTTTCTGCACCATAACGACTAGAGAAAATAAAACAGAAGCAGAGAGCACAGAACAACAAAAGCAATAACTACTACGATAGATCAGTGTGGTCTACTATAATACGTGTGCCAGGTTATTTTATGATATACTATTCGTGTTAGAATTTATTCAAATTATTTAAGGTTGTCAGGCACGGTATTAGTGTAAAGTAAAAGTATGTAGTTAGATGTACTTAGTGGGTTCAGTAATAAAAACGATTAAACGTTCAAAGTTCCTATAATCTCACTTGAGGAATAAGATATATTTACAGGTGTTATTTATTTATTTATTTAAACACATAGATATTATTACAAAATACATATGCGCCACACAAATCTCATTTGATTTGTGTGAGGGCTGTGATACTGCCCGGGTGCCCGAACCGAAGCAGGTGGTTTTCTGAGGGGGCCACACTTGGAGCCCTTGACCTAAATGTCTAATCCACAAGGCAGTGGAGCAACGTAAGGACATGCAGTCCCATGGTAGCCGGTGACCAACGATTGGTTCCTAGGCCGTTTGTTCCTTCAGGATACTGGAGCCCATGTGCACCATTGGTTCGGAATCATGGTTTTCCAACTTCCCTAAGTATACTCTCCTTGTCCACCAACCCGGTTAATGTGCCGGACATTCGTTTTTCGTCCTCTCAATTTCGTAAACATCACCCCCGCCACGAGAAGGCAGTGAGTAGGACTTCCCTGGCAGAGGATATATTGACATGGTCATGTGAGAGCGTTTGGAGAGGGAGAGCGGACTCTCCCCATTCTCGGGGAGCATTCGGGCATTCGGGGGCATTTACAGGTGTAAGAACAGTAAAGTCATTTTCAGAGGAGACGTAAGCATCGATACAACAAACAAGGGATCACAGTGATTTTATCTTACGGATAGATTGAGGTAAATAATTCCAGAGTCTGGAATATTTACTTGTAAAGTAATTCATATAGAGATTTATAATGTATGATTTGATTCGGTATATGACATGATTTGTTATATTTGAATACTTAATAGCTAAACTATCTGTGATATAGCTATCATTGTTTGACTATTATCTGTATATCTGTATGATGGTCGAAGCTGTGAAGAGAATTGTATTACAGTAGATTGACGACTTATACTCAAAACTATTAAATAATTATTAAAATAATATTGAGTTATTCTTACTAGCCAGTTAACTTTCGTAAGCCGTTACTTTTATGGAATTCAT